TTTTGTTGAAATTTATGGACTCTTAACATGAGGGTTTGAAGAATAACTTTGGTAACACTTTATTTGAAGGGGTGTGCATAAGACTGACATGACACTGTCATAAACATTCATAAAGACTTCTTTATATTCATGACAGGGGTTATGTCATGTTTATGACAGTGTCATGTCAGTCTTATGCACACCCCTTCAAATAAAGTGTTACCAAAGTTATTCTTCAAACCCTCATGTTAAGAGTCCATAAATTTCAACAAAATTATCTCGCAGTGCTGAGGAACCTTCTGCTGTTTTTAGTTAGCCAAGCAGGAGGGACAACCTCTCCAAGATGACCGCCGTATTTCCTGCGCCCAAGCAGCCAATGCGGGGTCTACTCTTTATTATGTCTATGACTTTCACTGTTATGCCTCAAGTTTACAGTTTTTGCTACTTTCACTGTGACGACTTCAGCATGAACCACTCACTAAAACTTATTTTACAAACAAAAAATCAAGGAAAACATTTTTAGTGGCACAGTGACTAAAAATCAAGTCACTAGCTCACAAACCGAAAAGCTGATGTGAAGGGACTCAACTCTGCTTTACCGTTTTTGTCTTTGCACAGCTGGGTCAAGCCAATCAAAAAGAGGGAATTCAATACACAAATGAGGCTTTCCGAAACGATGATGACAGAAGTAGCACAGGCTCTGGTGGTCCAGAGGGGAGAAGCGTATTGACTAGTTGGGATCCACCAAAGCCAGTAGAGAACATTCACTCCGAAGAAGTGAACCAGAGCTCTTCAGAACGACTACGGACCCAATTTCCTGACAACGCCAGTGACAGTGGTTCAGATAGGGCTGACAATGAAAAAGAGGTGAAACCCATCCTCACCAAAGAAAGACGAGTGGAAGAGGGATACAAGTCTGTCTGGTTTAAGGAGGACATTGATCCCAATGCCAAGGAGGAAGTGGTTATCATCCCAGAAAACCAAGATGAACACAGCGATGAGGAAGATGAGGAGCCATCATCCGACAGCAGAAAAGTCTTGTTTGCAGAAACGGATCTGGATAGTGGTCTTGGTGTTAAATTTGATGATCCAGCAGATGATTCTGAGAATGATGATAAACTTAACATTGATTTGTGAGAGCTGCCGAAACATGATCTAATAACAATAACAGGAATCACCCATATTAAAAATGGACATTGACTTATCATCTATGTAACTGTTAATCTGATCAGCCTATAACATTGAATATGGACCAGAAAAACACCCTGCAAAAGATAAAGATTTTAATGTAAAAGCGTGAATTGCATTTGAAAAGGTGATTTGTTTTGTTAAGTTGTCAATGAATGCTTTATTTGTGTAAAAATTTAATGCAGAAACTGTTGCAGAAGAACCAGATTAAATACATGCAAAGTGTTCTTTATTTTTTCTTAGCGCCAGCAGCTCACTGTTTGCATCAGTGATGCTGGGCTTTAATTAGCCGGTGCCATATCCTGACCTTTTCAGAAAAGTCTGGTGTTCTATCAGTGCTACCTCATCAGCTTTTGCTACTGTTAAGGAAGAGTATCTAAATTGGTTAACTTTGGAAAAAGTTTGGCTCTCTCTTCCTCTTGGATCCCAGGTCCTCCCGGCGAGCCACGTGTGGCCACAAGGAAAACAACAGCAATGCGTGTTGACGTCACAGAATTACAGAGTTTAATCCAATATAAGACAATGCATAAACTTACACTGCAACTGCAGAACAAAGGAGACATACATTCATTTACCTGACAGACTTGGAAAAAGAAGAAAGAAAAGCAAAGACGTGCAAAGACATCTTTGGAGAGTTGCAAGAGCAAATCTGATTTGTTACTTCTGTGTAGAAAGTTTTATAGTAAAAGGCATATTCTTATCTTTAATTTATTCAAATAAGGCGTATCTTTGCTCATCCAACCAGGAGCTATCTCTGACCCTCTCTCAAGCCCGAAACCCCTGCCGTGTTTACGGCCGTTCACAGATGAGTGTGAAAAACTAGAACTTCTACTGTATTGTTTTCCCACACAGACAAAAGGCAGTTCAAATGATCCTAGCAAACCATCTGCTGGAACTACAGGTAAATTAAAGGTCAAAAAGTCAGAATACATTACTAATTTCAAAACCACAACTAGGCCATATGAATCAAGACATGTTAAGTTTTAAAACTAGCTTATTTTAAATTTATTTTCTCAACACTACCATAGCACAGCTAGATAGCTATGTCTGTTGGTGCCACATGTCTAAAACCACTACCGTCATGTTTACAAACTGAAAACTATCGCGGGTTGTGTAAATGTTAAATATCATAATCGGATAACATTCTTTGAGTGACGGGACTGAAGTGGAAGCTTAGGAGTTATGCTTAGCGTAGAACTGGAACGATTTATATGACAAAACCACAAGAATACCACTTCATCAGAATATCCTACCCGTTCACAAATGAAAAGCTATCACAGATGTATGCTCTATTTCCTTTATCAAAATATACTTCCTTTATAAAATATAGCTACGGAAGAGTACGGAGCCCTCCAGGGGACATGGGGATTTTTTTTCTTTTGCGTTCCCTTGCAATACTTTTGCGTCCCCTCGCAAAAGGTTTGGCGTTGCCTTGCAATAATCTATTGAAAAGTTCATCTGGCATAATTAAATACTGTAAGCCTTTCTTACGGTGGCCGCCATAATTTCTGCTTTAATACAAGGTTATGTAAGGTTTATCCATGAATGTTAATATCTCGTTGTGAAATATCTGACATTTTATATCTTTAGTACAGAAAGAAGGATACCACAAACCTACGATATAAACAGAAACTTTCCGTAAGTGGGAAAGAAATAAAAATACATCCAAACTATTTGTACTATTTCTGAGTTATTATCGCGGGGTAATAAGTCATCTTATTGTGTCTCTGTTGTGTTCGTCTGAATGGTTTAAAGGGCTTCTTTCAGTGCCATTCCATCTTAGCCTTAACAGACAGATATGCAGCAAATAAATCGATTTTCAATTAGTTTATTGCACCAAAGCGTTAATAATAAACATGTTTTATTATTATAAAACACATCAGACTAATGGT